GCTCACACACACACGCTCACACACATGCTCACACACACACATTCACACACACACACACCTACCCTGCCTCTCACCCTGGGGGCCCTCCTGGGGCTGCCCTGTGGGGGGAGCGGGGAGTGAGGAGGGAGCCCCACCCCGCTCACTGGCCTCTCCCCCTCCCGCGCCCCCACAGGAGCCTGGACTTCATCAGCCTCATGGCCTACGACCTGCACGGCTCCTGGGAGCGGACTACGGGCCATCACAGCGCCCTCTACCCGAGGCAGGGGGAGCAGGGGGCGGCGGCTGAGCTCAATGTGGTGAGTGGCCGTGGGGGGCAGCCCCAGTCCCTGTCCGGCTGCCTCTTTTGAGCCTCGAGGCACCTAAGGAGGGGCTTGCAGGCTTCCAGAAAGTGCTCTCAGGGCAGAGCCCCCACTCACTGGCCCAGGTTTGGTGGGTGGGTGGGGCTTCCGGCCGCCTCTCCGCAGAGCAGGACGCGCACTTGTCAGAAGCCCAGGCCACTTGACGGGGTTCTGTTTTGTTCCGGGAGGACGGGAGGGGAAGCATCAGGGTGAGAGGGAGCCATGGGTCGGCCGCCCTGCAGGCCCCGCGGAGCTGGGGCCGCCCTGGCTGTTCTGAGCACAGCCACCCTCGTTGCCCTGCACCCACCCTCCCCTCTCAGGTGCCGGGAGGTAGACGTTTGTATTGTGTCCATTTTGCAGACTGGAAGCCTGAGGCCCGGGAGGTTGGGAAGGTGCGGGAAGGCAGGGACTGGCTGCATTGCTCACAGTGGTGTCCCAAGCACCTGGGATGGGCCTGGCACATGGGCGTCCGTCACCGTCGGCTCAGGGAGTGGCTGTTGGGCCCCAAAGCCCAGGCTCCCGTGTGTCTCACTGAGCCGAGTCCATGGACAGATGGACAGATGGACGGGCGGGCGGGCGGGCGGGAACGCTTCGGAGCCCCAGCCTTGGATGACGAGGCTCAGGCTGCACACAGGAAGCCCCCTCTCCCGCCCCCAGGACTCCGCGGTGCAGCAGTGGCTGCAGCAGGGGACCCCGGCCAGCAAGCTGGTCCTGGGCGTGCCCACCTACGGACGGACCTTCACCCTGGCCTCCCCGGCAAACACCGGGGTGGGGGCCCCGGCCACCGGGCCCGGCACCCCAGGCCCCTTCACCAAGGAGGCAGGGCTGCTGGCGTACTACGAGGTAGGCCCGCGGCCCAGGGCACGTGCACCCCATCCCTCGCCTGTCATCTCGGTTCGGTCCCAGCCCAGGGGCCTCGCCGACGTCAGGGTTGGGGGTCACTCGGTCTGAACCCCCCGCCGCCCCCCGTTCCCTGGGTTCCTGGGAAGGAACCCCCGTCTCTAGTGGTCCCTCCTCCCGCTCGCCCTCTCCCCCCAGGTGTGCGCCTGGAAGGGGGCTGCCCAGCACCGGATCCCAGAGCAGGAGGTGCCCTACGCCTTCCGGGGCGACCAGTGGGTGGGCTTTGACGATACCGAGAGCCTCAAAGCCAAGGTGAGCCCCGGTCAGTTACCGCGCAGGCAGCCGGCTTGTGCTGGCAGGTCCTTGCAGAGGTGTGGACGGCGCCCTGGGGCGGAGGAAGGGAGGAGGGAGACCCAGGCTGGCGGAGGGAGCCCTGCTGAAGCCGAGAGGCAGAGAGGACGGCTGGAGGCCCGCACAGCCTGGCCTGCACAGGGGCGGGGAAAGTCTAGGGGGGAGGCCGCTGGAGGGGAGAATGGGGCCAGCAAGGGGGCCTGCCCAGCCCCCTCCCCCCAGACTGACTCCGGTGAGCCCTGGCCCTGGCAGGGTTCGGGGAAGGGAAGCTGCCCAAGGGAACGGCCCTGCCCCGAGGAAGCTGGGGTGCAGCAGAGACAAGCAGGCAGGGAGCCCTGCAGACGTTGGGGAGCTTGTTCCCATGGCAACAGCTCAGCCAGGCGCCTGCACACAGGCCAGGGCAGGAAAGGCCCGATGGCAGCTTCCACTGAGGGGCCACGCGCCGTCCACCCCTCACCCCACCCAGACCGTCCTGCTGGGCCGGACCTTCCCTGTGACGCGCCGGCCGGGCTGGGCTCAGCCGTCTAGGCTCCCAGGCCAGGAGCCTCAGCCACTCTGGTCTGGGGGTGCTGGCGGGAATCGGCCCACGGCCTCCAGCTCCTGCGCCCCCTCCCTCCCCCGCAGGTCAGCTACCTGAAGCAGAAGGGACTGGGCGGGGCCATGGTCTGGGCGCTGGACATGGACGACTTCGCAGGCTCCTTCTGCAACCAAGGCCGATACCCCCTCATCAAGACCCTGCAGACGGAGCTGCGGAGTCCAGGGGCAGGTGGGAGCCCCTCCCTGAACTTGTGTCCTGGCTCCTCCTGAGGAAGTGGCTCCCCCCCGGCTGTGTCCCCCCGAATCTCAGGCGCCCCCAAGGCTGAGGTTGCAATGCCCCCTCTTTCCAACGGTGGCAAAGCCCCCGGGGCTGGTAATGGGGCTTCCCCCAGCCCCGAGCCCGGGCGGGCGGCTGGCTTCTCTCTGTGGGAGGAAGTCTGCACCCTCACACTGCGTGGGGCCTCCACAGTGGACGGCAGGTGGCAGGTGGCCACTGACCACCCACGACACCCGGTGCCCAGGTCTGCTGTGGGCCGTGGCCCTCGGTGCGGCTGTTGTCAGCTGTTCTCCGCTGTGGGGGTGGGGGGTGGGGTGCAGGGTGCGGAGCTCTGTCCACCCGTGGCTGCTGACTGCGTGGCCTGTGGGTCGGGGACCTCTTGCGGGGGGGCCTTGGCTGAATCCTGACCGCCTTCCAGGTCTCCCACACTCGCCTTCGGAGCGCCCCCAGCCCGACATTCCCGCACCGGGCCCGCCCTCTGACCCCGAGGGTGGCCCCGGCCCTGGACGCGTCACCTTCTGCTACGGCCGGGCCGACGGGCTCTACCCGCACCCCCAGGACCCGTCCAGCTTCTACAGCTGCGCGGGCGGCGGGCTCCACCCGATGCACTGCCCGCAGGGCCTGGTCTTCAGCGCCGCCTGCCAGTGCTGCACGTGGGCTTGAGCCGCAGGCCCTCAGCCCCAGCCCGGCCGAGCCTGCCCCCCCGCCCCCGCCCCCACTCCCGGGCAAAGTCTGGCCCCTCAGCCTCTCCGTGGGCTTGGTGGCCGCTCTTCCTGCTCTCGGCCGGTTCCTGGGCCCGGCTCCTCGGCTGCCTCTTTTACTGCGAAATAAACCCGCTGCACCCGCGCCTGCGTGTTGCTCAGATCGCCCGGGAAGGGGGGCTGCGAGGGGCTGGCGTCAGGCAGGCCAGGTAAGGGTGGGCAAGAGGTGGTTGGCTCCGGCTGTGCCAAGCCCTGTGCCAGGGACACCGCAGGCTGCACACGCCCGCCAGCCGCTCCCAGGGCACAGGCGGCCACACTGGGACACGGCCTGCGAGCAGCGCTCCTCCCGCCTCCGCTCAGCGCCGTTCCCAGGATGCACACGAGGGGGCAGCAGAGATGCGCCTTCCGGGCCCTCCACTCGCGTTGTTGTTCCCCAACCGCCCGCGAGGGGGCGGGGAGGAGCGTTTCCCGCCTCGGGAGCCCGGCCTGCAGGCCCCACAGCGAGAATGCAGCCCTGGGCGCAGCGCCCGGGAGCCCCATGTCCGCTCTGCCAGCCGCTGGGGAGCCCGACTCGAGGGTCATGTCCTTCCAAAGGCCCCTCCTGTGCAGGCGGGTGGGGCCCGCGCTCGCACAGGCTCAGCCCCGCCCCGCGGGTTTGGCTCAGTGACGGCGGCACAGCCGGCACCACAATCTAGTCTCGGAACAACCCTTTCGCCTCAAGCACTGCAGCCCTGTCTTGCGCTGGAGGCTGACCTCCCTCCCCACCGTGTTTCTCCAGCCAGTGGCACCTCCCCTCTCCGGGTGGGGGTTCGATCCGCCCGACAGGTAGGACCAGCGCCACGGTGTGCGGTCACAGCGGGAGGGGTCATCACAAAGGCACTCCTGGTCGGGACAGGGCGGGCAGGGCCCCGGGCAGGCGGAGCTCCGGGAAGGGGCGTGAGGAGCCCCAGCGAGGAGTCCAGCGGCCCAGGTGGCAGCTACGGCGGCTGAAAGTCACCCTTTCCCTGGATCCGTGTGGTCCCGGGACAGACCCGCGAGGTCGGAGCCGCGGAGCCGGAGCCGGAGCCGGAGCCCGTCCTCCAGCAGCGCCCGCAGGCGGGAAGGTCAGGGAGCGGGCGGCTCGGCTGCGCTGTGGGGCCTGCTGCTATGAAACGGTCCACATCCCTTACCTCATGCTGAGCCTGTCATTTCGTTCTGTTTCTTCCCGATTAAGGTTTGATAACATTTATTGATCTTATTCCATAAAAATTTGATTTTGAAACCAGCCAGTGAGTCTGGGCTGCCAGTCACTTCAGCAGAGACAGGGCTGAGTCCCGCGTGAGCGCGCATTCCGATCCCGCAACAGGTCAGCCAGACCTCTGCTCCGCCCTCCGCACAGGCAATGCTGTGGGCACAGGGACTACGATGACGCAGGGAAGCAGAACTGAAGGCGGAGGGAGCAGCACAAGTGAACCAGTTACGGGGTACAGGCCATGCGCGGGGATAAGGGGGGCCCAGAAAGAGAAACCCCTTCAGACCAGATCATCTCAGCCAGGAGGTTGTTCAACTCCCAAAATGAAATGAATGATCAGGGCAGAATATAACCCTAACCCTAACCCTAACCCTAACCATAACCCTAACCCTAACCCTAACCTTATCCTTATACCTAACCGTAACCGTAACCCTATCCCTAACCCTAACCCTAACACTAACCCTAACCCTAACCCTAACCCTAACCCTAACCCTAAACCTAACCCTAACCTTATCCTTATACCTAACCGTAAACATAACCCTATCCCTAACCCTAACCCTAACACTAACCCTAACCCTAAACCTAACCCTAACATTATCCTTACCCCTAACCCTAACACTAACCCTAACACTAACACTAACCCTAACCCTAACATTATCCTTACCCCTAACCCTAACACTAACCCTAACCCTAACACTAACCCTAACACTAACATTATCCTCATCCCTAATCCTAACCCTAACCCTAACCCTAACCCTAACACTAACATTATCCTCATCCCTAATCCTAACCCTAACCCTAACCCTAACCCTAACCCTAACCCTAAACCTAACCCTAACCCTAAACCTAACCCTAACCCTAACATTATCCTTACCCCTAACCCTAACACTAACCCTAACACTAACATTATCCTCATCCCTAATCCTAACCCTAACCCTAAACCTAACCCTAACCCTAAACCTAACCCTAACATTATCCTTACCCCTAACCCTAACACTAACCCTAACCCTAACATTAGCCTCATCCCTAACCCTAACCCTAACCCTAACCCTAACCCTAACCCTAACATTAGCCTCATCCCTAATCCTAACCCTAACCCTAACCCTAACCCTAACCCTAACCCTAACCCTAACCTTATCCTTATCCATAATCCTAACCCTAACCCTAAACCTAACTGTATCCTTAAACGTAACCCTAACCCTATCCATAACCCTAACCCTAACCCTAACCCTAACCCTAACCCTAAACTTATCCCTAACCCTAACCCTATCCATAACCCTAACCCTAACCCTAACCTTACCCTAACCCTAACCCTAACCCTAACCCTAAACTTATCCCTAACCCTAACCCTATCCATAACACTAACCCTAACCCTAACGCTGTACATAACCCTAACCCTAACCCTAACCCTAACCCTAACCCTATCCGAATCGCTAACACTACCCTGATTCAAAACCCTAACATTATCCCGATCCCTAACCCTAACCCTAAACTTAACCCTAACCCCAACACTAACCTTAGCCCTAACCCTAACCCTAACCCTAACCCTAACCCTAACCCTAACATTATCCTTATCCCTAACCCTAACCCTATCCATAACCCTAACCCTAACCCTAACCCTAACCCTAACCCTAACCCTAACCCTAACCCAAACCCTAACATTATACTTATCCATAACCCTAACCCTAACCCTAACCTTATCCCTAACCCTAACCCTAACCCTAACCCAAACCCTAACATTATCCTTATCCCTAAACCTAACCCTATCCATAAACCTAACCCTAACCCTAACCTTATCCCTAACCCTAACCCAATCCATAACCCTAACCCTAACCCTAACGCTGTACATAACCCTAACCCTAACCCTAACCCTAACCCTATCCTAATCGCTAACACTACCCTGATTCAAAACCCTAACATTATCCCTATCCCTAACCCTAACCTTATCCCTAACCCTAACCCTATCCATAACCCTAACCCTAACCCTAACCCTAACCCTAACCCTAACCCTAACCCTAACCCTAACTCTATCCATAACCCTAACCCTAAACATAACCCTAACATTATCCTCATCACTACTCTGACCCTAAGCCTAACATTAGCCTCATCCCTAACCCTAACCCTTATACCTAACCCTAACCCTAACCCTAACCCTAACCCTAACCCTAACCCTAACATTAGCCTCATCCCTAACCCTAACAGTAAACCTAACCCTAACCCTAACCTTATAACTAAACCTATGTGCACTGCTGGTGGGAATGCAGACTGGTGCAGCCACTATGGAAGACAGTATGGAGTTTCCTTAAAAAACTGAAAATGGAACTCCCATTTGACCCTGTGATCCCACTTCTAGGAATATATCCCAAGAAACCAGAAACACCAGTCAGAAAGGATATATGCACCCCTATGTTCATAGCAGCACAATTCACCACAGCTAAGATCTGGAAACAGCCTAAGTGCCCATCAGTAGATGAATGGATTAGAAAACTGTGGTACATCTACACGATGGAATACTATGCTGCTCTAAAAAGGAAGGAACTCTTACCATTTGCAACGGCATGGATGGAACTGGAGAGCATTATGCTAAGTGAAATAAGCCAGTCAATGAAGGAAAAATACAACATGATCTCACTCATTCATAGATAATAGAGACCATTATAAACTTTTGAACAATACTAGATACAGAGGCAGAGCTGCCTCAAACAGATTGTCAAACTGCAGCGGAAGGCCGGGGAGGGTTGGGGGGCAGGAGGTAGGGGGTTAAGGGATCAACTAAAGGACTTGTATGCATGCATATAAGCATAACCAATAGACATAAGACACTGGGGGATAGGGGAGGCTAGGGAACTGTCTAGGGCGAGGGGGTGGGGGTTAAATGGACATATATGTAATACCCTTTATAATACTTTAAGCAATAAAAAAAAAAAAAACACTAAACCTAACACTAACTCTATCCATAACCCTAACTCTATCCATAACCCTAACCCTAACCCTAACCCTAACCCTAACCCTAACCCTAACCCTAACTCTATCCATAACCCTAACCCTAGCCCTAACGCTGTACATAACCCTAACCCTAACCCTAACGCTGTACATAACCCTAACCCTAACCCTAACGCTGTACATAACCCTAACCCTAACCCTAACCCTATCCTAATCGCTAACCCTATCCTGATTCAAAACCCTAACCCTAACATTATCCTTATCCATAACCCTAACACTAACCCTAACCCTATCCATAACCCTAACTCTAACCCTATCCTTATCCCTAACCCTAACCCTATCCATAACCCTAACCCTAACCCTAACCTTATCCCTAACCCTAACCCTATCCATAACCCTAACCGTAACCCTAACGCTGTACATAACCCTAACCCTAACCCTAACCCTAACCTTATCCCTAACCCTAACCCTAACCCTATCCATAACCCTAACCCTAACCCTAACGCTGTACATAACCCTAACCCTAACCCTAACCCTATCCTAATCGCTAACCCTACCCTGATTCAAAACCCTAAACCTAACATTATCCCTATCCCTAACCCTAACCCTAACATTATCCCTATCCCTAACCATAACCTTATCCCTAACCCTAACCCTATCCATAACCCTAACCCTAACCCTAACCTTACCCTAACCCTAACCCTATCCATAACCTAACCCTAACCCTAACCCTAACCCTAACCCTAACCCTAACCCTAAACTTATCCCTAACCCTAACCCTATCCATAACCCTAACCCGAACCCTAACCCTATCCTAATCGCTAACCCTATCCTGATTCAAAACCCTAACCCTAACATTATCCCTATCCCTAACCCTAACCCTAACACTATCCATAACCCTAACATTATCCCTATCCCTAACCCTAACCCTAACCCTATCCATAACCCTAACCCTAACCCTAACCCAAACC